GTCTTTGATCATCGTTGTTTGCGAAGCATTGCTGGTGTCGGATGGCACCAGCGTATCCCCAACGATGATGTGCGTAGGCGAGTACTAGGTGGTGATGATCATGCTAGCTCCCTAGAACAACAGATAGCACTGAATAAGTTACGTTGGCTCGGGCACGTGCTACGCATGCCTGGTCACCGCTTACCTAGGAGGGCCTTGTCTAGTCTACCAGGTGTAGGGTGGCGCAAGGCTCGAGGTGGACAGAAGTTGACTTGGCAGCGGGAAATGAAGTCACTGACAACCAAACTGGGTGCCATTGGTCCGTCTCGCCTTCCCGGTTGGAGTCCACGTGACTCACCTTGTGCTTGGCTCGAGACTTTGCAGGACATGGCTCGCAACCGACACCAGTGGCGCGTCTGCTGCCGTCTTCTAATCGGATTGTCTGTTTAAAGTGTGTTTGGTACTGAGTTATATGCAGGGTAATGGCTGATTATGACGCGTGACAGTGAAAGCCGCAATGGAGCTGTCTAGCCGATGACGCCTTATCTTTACCCAATAGCCAGCTGTTTGTGACGGTATGTTGTCTACACAAGGCGTAGGCGCCTTGACCCAGAATGTTTGCTTAGAGCATTAAGGTTTTCAGGTAAGTCCCCCTTCTCTCCCCCTTATTATTCTTTATACCATGGGTCTTCATGGTTGTATGGCAGCGAAGCATCAGTGCATATGGCTGTTGATGATGATGATGAGACAGAGGCTGCACCGACAAAATCCTCACTCTATATCGGGCACTCGAACATCACTACCAGTTCCACCGGCCCAGGTTTGTTTACTTCATTGATTTTCGTGCTCTCTTTGACGCAGTTGATTGTGAAGCACTCTGGAGAATCCTACTTGCCGATGGTGTGCTCCTCAAACTCGTTAACTTGATGAGATCATACTACAGTTGCACGAAGGCCCGGATTCAGATCTATAATGAAGAAACAAAGAAATTCGACATCAATAATGGAGTACAGCAGGGTCGCCCACTTTCTCCAACGCTAATAAACTTCGCGGTCGAGTCCCTGAGGGCTACCGTGATTTTCAAATTAGCCCTGACTTCTGTCTGTCAGACCTGGAATTTGCTGACAAAATCACTATCCTTGCAGAAGATCCTATGTCACTACAGTCACCGCTAAATCGAGTTGATCAATTAGCCACTATGATCAGCCTCAAAAGCAGCATCAGCAAGACGAAGTACTTCTCATCGTCAGCCACCCAGGACATCTAGTCACACGCCTAACATGGGCAATGTATCGAGCGTGTTCCTGAATTCACTTAGCTTGGATCCACTAATCCCCTCAGTGGTCAGGCTACATCCGAAATCCGGAATCGTACTGAAAGCTGTAGAACAGCCCTTCTTACTACTGAGAAACACACTGTGACGAAGGACGGTAATTAATTTACGAACGCAGATCCGAGTATTCTCAGCAACCATTCGTGCCATTTTACTCTATGGTTGTGAAACATGGCAGCTGCGATTCGAAGACAGCCGGAAGCTGGAAGTCTTCGACCACTGGTGTCTAAAGATTGTCTTGAAATCGAAGTGGAATGTGCGTATCATCAACGATGAAATCCGTAAGCGCTGTTACGGTCTTCCAAAGCCCTCAGGGCACATCCAACGCCGCAGACTTCAGTGGTTCGCTCACGTCCTACGCAGACGAGACGACGACTTCATTAAAGCCGTGGTTTCGCCTTCGCCAGTTGAGCTACCGGTAACAGATGGGCATCGTTCCGGTAAGCTAGCTGACGGCTAGTAAGTAGCAAGAAAAAAATAATTTACTGTGCGAAATTATCAAATGTTAAATAATGAGATCGTAGTTAGAGGGGGAGGCTAAGGGAAGAGGGTGGGACAAAGAAACTCACAGCACCAACGCCACTGAGGTCGACTCCTAGCCATATCAACAAGAGTATCCAGCCAAACGTTTTCATCGTCTTTCGGACCAACCCAACCACGGAGCCGAAACGCTCCAACCGAGGCCAGCTTCGAAGTGAGGGAGTTCATTCCTCTCGACCAAGTCATCGCCTGGCCACCTTTCCTCTTCTTCCATCCACACCCCCGGCGCGCAAACAACGCACGTTGCGGAAGTCGGTGGACTGACATGCGTAACATGTGGCCGAGCCATCGGAGCCTGGTGCGCGAAGTAACGGTGCTGAGCGGTTCAGTTCCTTTTCCTGTACCGTAAACAAGGCGTCGAACACGCTCGTTGCTCACGCGGTGTTCCCACCAGATGTGAGCTAAATTGCGAAGGCATCGGTGGTCGAATGTAACTAGCCTCCTTCTATCCGCTCACCTAAGGGGCCAGGTTTTACAATGGTACAGTAGGGTCGAACGTATTACTGCATTGTACACTCTACCCTTTAGAGCGAGAGTGATGTCGCGTCTGCGCCATAGGTGGCGAAGGTTAGCAAAAATGCCTCGAGCTTTTGCTATACGGTTCGTGATCTCATCTTCAATCCCACGGGCGCTGATACAACTTCCCAGGTAGTTGAAATTTTGAACGACCTCGAGCTTCTCTCCACCAAGCGTCAGCGAAGGAGGCGGTCCAGACCAATCTTGGAGGAACGCTTTGCACTTCAAGGGTGAAAAGCAAAGCCCGAAGTGGTTGACAGCCAGTGCTAATCTGTCCAGTGCCGTTTGGCACGTCTGGGAGCAGTCACAGATTAGGGCAACATCGTCAGCATACTCCAAGTCAAGAATTCGTTCTCCTGGGAGCAGATCCACACCTAAGTCGTGTCCTGTGAACGCGATGTCCATGACTTCGTCAGTAGCGAAATTGAAAAGGTAAGGTGACAGCAGGAATCCTTGTCTCACACCACTGGAGATATTAAAGGGCGACGACAGCTTACCGTAAGCCCTCACTCTGCTTGAGCTACGCGCGTACAATGATCGGATAATATTCACATATTTCTCAGGTATACCTTTCCTGAGTAGACAGTCCCAAAGTGCACGTCTATCCAACGAATCGAATGCAACTTTGATATCGAGGATCACGACAACGGTGGGAAGCCAATATATGTGACGGTGCTCCAACAACTGACGCAAAGTGAAAATGAGGTCAATGCGGCCACGACCTTGACGAAACCCGGCTTGCTCTGCACAAATATGGCTTTCACAAGTGGCAGTCAGTCTGTGAAGGATAACAAAGTTAAGCAATTTGGAGGCGATGGAGATCAGACTGATTCCTCTATGGTAGCCACACTCCGATCGTCAGCCTCCCTTGAAAATTGGGACTATGACAGAGCGGCTCCGGTCAGTTGGGACAGTTTCCTGCTCCCAGAGTTTCACTAGTAACTCGTATAAATCATCCACACGAGCAGGTCCCCCGAATTTGAAGAGGGCTGGATGAAGATAATCTGGTCCCGCAGCTTCGTTCAACTTCAACAGTCCGATCTAACGTTTCACTTATATATATATATATATATATATATATATATATATATATATATATATATATATATATATATATATATGATTAGGCGGCGTCCGTATCCGGATTTGCCTGTCACTGTGATGTCCATGGGGACAGTCACAGGACGCCTGCGCCTACAGAGGGACCATGGGTGGCTTGCGCTGCACCACCCATAGTTCCATCCACACACCCCATATCCGGTGTAAACCCGAAGGAATAAGACCGGGAGGCATGCGAATGGGAGCCACGTTTCATCAACGGAGCCGGCCCACACTCCTTCAACAAGCAGAACGGAAGCATTCCAGCCTAATACACATCAAACGTACACGAGGCGGTGGCTGGACCGTAGCCCGTTCCACACAGGTTGCATGGAACCACTCTTTGAGCCTAGCACCGTCACGAGGACGGTGCACTCCGTCCCCTCCAGCGACGACCAACTGTCTCCTGGAGCCAGTATGGACGAGGTAGTGGGTAATAGACAGGTAGGCACCTTGTCAACATTCACATCAGGCGCATCCACACAGGGGAGCTCAAGCAACATCTACTTCTGAAATGCAAGATTATTCATCACGCAGGCAAACGTACCACATACGCTGCCTTATTGGCCTGGATTAGTAAATTGAATGGGAACATACTCATGGTGCTTCTATTCCGCGTACAATTGTGCCTTCTCCGGTATCTGAGAAACCGCCATTTTGAGTAGTTCACGGAATTCGCATCGATCAAATTTGCCTTGGATTCGCATCACCTGAAATCAACATGAGTTTGTCATAAACTCACTTTCCTCATGTTCTGGTAATATTATTTTCGGTTTGCTCGAATGTCGTTCTACTGCACCAAGTTAACCGTACAAAAGCGGTATGAAGATCCTCGTGGAATTCATTCGGTATACATATATACATAGATTGGCGTCATCTTTGTCCAATGGCAGTTCGAATGCAACGTATGTACATGCGTTTATGCAAACTTAAGTGTGAGCATGCACTACTATACACGGCAAGAACCCTATATATATATATATATATATATATATATATATATATATATATACATATATACATATATATACATATACATATATATGCCCCACAACCGCTGCTTGCTCGTCTAGACTCTTCAGGTGACGGTACCTGGAGTTAGTAATGGGACGTCGAATGTATTCATCGAAGACTAACGCCTTGATCAGTGGACCACAGAATTCCGTGGGTAACGTTTGAAGTAGGGGTCGGGAACCGAGAAGCACTGCAAAGAAAAGCCTGTTACAGATGAAAATTTTTGCTGCGGTTCGAAACCGTATCACGAATCAATGACTATTTTATGACCCTGTTCTGAACGAACAATCAGGCTGCAAAAAAGGCACACCAGCTATTTACGGATTCACCGAATCGGACGAAGTTTTTATGGCAAAAGCGAAACAATGCTCAACAGAAAGCCCAATCGATTGTTATAAAATCATGACTTCTCGATCGGTTACAAACACACTCCACAAGTCAAACCATATGACTTGTTAAATTACAACAAGCACCATTTCACATAAACGACACAAAAATGAAAAGAAAACGGCGAACTCACTGGTGTTTCCGATTCCATCCAATAACAGCTTATACAACCGCATAGGCAGATGAACCAAGGGGCCAATGCCAGCTATGGAGCGTAACGGGCCATGTGTTGTGCTACGTTGAAATTCCCAAGCACGAAATACATCCAAACCGTAGACATCACCAGAAGCAACTTCAACACTTTGAAAGAATTCGTCCGGATGCACGTAACCCGGTTGAGTGCGCAACACCAACAGGAAGCGCAGTGATAGGAGAATGAGGTACAGAAGCCAATCGTGAAAGTATACGAACAAAGAAGTAACACACGGTGCCATCAGCACACTAGAGACAATGTAAAGGAGACAATAAGGTCAGGTAGACGGTGACACAAAGATGAAAGATACGGGAGAGATGATGTAGCATATATTTATCCTCTCATGATTTTAAAAAATAAAAAACCGGGAAGCTTAGTTGGAGGAAGTGTCTCCACAAAGTTTGATCCGCTTGCAATCAGAGGTGTCGCATTCCGTATGTGAAGAATCGTCTCCGTTAACTGGTTTCATGAAATCGCAAGAGGGTGCTTCTTTAGTGGCAGTCACCAAGGCGTGATCAAGAATACGGACACCAGCGCCATTAGTCGGATGAGGGAGAATACGCCAAGGCAGACGACTGTCTGGACTGGAATGTATAGACCTGTAAAAGTAAAAGATAAGGTGACTGTTGCGTAGAAAAATTACTTAAATGCAATCGGAAACCAATGACTTTAGCTTCCATGGACTAGAGGCTCTAGATCGCGCTCAACTCATCAAAGGTAGACAGATCAAAGAAGATTGACAGACATTACCAATAAAATCGATGTGAAAACCGCAATGAATAAAAGCATGACGAAATAATCAAAAACACAGATGTAGCATAGCGGTTGCTAATAACAGTGATAAACGTTAGTGAAGAATCAAAAAATGTGAAAGGTTAGCGAGTAAGGGAAGCTAGTTGGTCGTAAGCAAAATGCCGATATCCAACTCGGAATTCATTGTTCCTCAACAGTTCACAAGCTAAAATTTCGAGGTGACTGATAACGGACAATACATGCTTGCTCACAAATTGGGTTGACTTCCCGAACAACTTCCCCGTGGTGCCACCTGGCTGGTTCGAGTTTACCCCGTTCCAGCAAATGGGTCGGCGGCAGTCACCAAGGATGTAGTGGTTTCTCACCTGACAAGCGTTCTGTTTAACAAAACCGCGACGTGGCGGACATGACTCACCAGTAAATAGTCACTGTCAGTTGCTCTACTCCGATAGAGCATTGTATCCTAACAGCTGAATGCTATCATTGTGGAAAGATTTGACCCCAGCTTGGTAACTTACCAAACAAAAGGCGTATGAACCAAGAGATCGGTCACGGGCTCCCAATGGGCGCGATTCCCTGAATTTTTTTTGCTGTTTTGCGAGTAGGCTGTTGAGCCAAAGCCTCGGTGTGGGGATTCCTAAGTCAACTCGCTACTTCGACTTAGACAGTCGGGTAGTATCGCGCCGTCTGCAAAAACCACGAATTATACTGCTACTTCGTCAGACTCGTACATATATTTGTCATCTCTCATCAAACCCCATCACAAGCTAACCGCTACTGTTATTAATCCCTTTTATTCAAGATTTAATCCAGATGTAGATTTCGTCATTGCTCAGAACGTTTGGCCTGAGGCTACCCTTCGACCTCGATCCTCGTTTCGGCTGGCAACCAAGCAGGCTTGGCATATACTATAAGTCCCCTCGCTATTGATATCTGCTGTCTTTCTGAAGCACGCTTGTAAGACCCAAGCATTGTGTACAAATAGACATCACCGACCAACCAGAAAGCAATATACAACCTGTGTTTGTCTGACGACGCGAAAGCAAGTGCAGCTGGTTTGCCTGACGTTGGCCAAGCATTAAGCAGTAGAAGCCGAGGCCGCACTCCTAGATTGGTTTTCGGGTAACAGCCGCGCAGCTCGGCCTCAAGGCTCATGAAGTGTTAACATGCAACGCGCTAAAAGACAACCTGCTTGTGATATCCGCTTTTGCGACAACCGATTGTAGCTGTGAATCAATCAAGGACGATTTCTACCACCAAACCCATCAGCTGTTATGTAGATTTGCCAAATCGGACATTGTTGTCCTCGCACGAGAGTTCAACGCACGAGTTGGTCGTCTGTTACAAAGTGAATTTCACCTGGGTGGTCATCATGCACTTAATGAAAAACGGGCGGATAATGGTACCAGGTTTCCAACGTTGTGTGAAGACAACGGACTATTTCCCGCAATCACAGACTTCAAGCACTCCAGCGAGCCTTCTGCCATCTGGCGTCCTTCTGCATCGTAATTAGTGCTAAATGACGGCGCAACATACACGACTGTAGAGTATTTTTGATTACTTATCTTGATTTAGACCACACGAATATCTACCTTCGATTCGGAGGACCTCCGAAACGGGAAGCATTGTAGACTCGACACCAACAAGCTAATTGATCAATCGGCTAAGGCAAAATATCGGCTGTCAATGGCAAACAAATTAGCCTGTGTTCCGCCTATTGACAATGAACACTTCGGGTTCCTTGCGCCACCTCTGACAATGTTCGACCACCGCCGAAATCTCTATGTAAACTCAGAAAAGGGCGCCAAGCAGCGGGACGTCTTCTCGAACGTCTGAAGCGGGTGCTCGAGAGAAACAGAGGATTGTCTTCACACAGTGTGAGAAGTTTCTCGTCATTATCTGAGCGACTCTCATCAAGCGCATGGTGACCACCGAGATTACTTTCAAATGATAATAGACGACCAAACGCTGCACTAAGATCACAGCAAGAATAACAATATAGGGTTTGCACACCGCTCAAGAGCCGGTGAAGTTCACAATAAAAATCGCCCTTGACCGAGCTAATACTGCAGTCAGTTGGAGCTTAGATCACAAACAAGTTGCGTCTCTCCTCACGATGTCTGTTGATCCTGCATATTCCCCGAAGCCGAAATGCACATAGTCGGCTGTTAAGTTGGAACCAGTCCAGCAACGTGGCTCCGGCTTTACTACTTAGTGCTACACCAACGCCAGCCAAGCCTGCTGTGACTGCATCTGTGTCACAAAATAGACGGTGGTGCAATATGGCTCCGTGGTCGGTAGATCCCAACTCATTCACGGTACTGAGATCATGCAATCGGATATCGGAAAAACAGCAAATATCGATGGCCATGAATTCCAATGTGAGCGAGAACAGCCAGCTGCCCCATTTGCATGAGTGTAGATATATCGAAGCATGCCAGACGGAACGAGAATTGAGGCCGATCATTACGTGAGCTCTGTGGTCATCGAGTAGGAGTATTGGAAACAGGATTCGATTAGTAACGGATTGGTAACAAATGAACAAGTGGCATGTGAAGGTGCGTGGATAGCAGGGATAAAAGAAGTTGAGCGCGAATGGCAGGTGAACGAGCCGTGATTTTGTCAGTGGGCGTGATATTAACCGGTTGCCGAGGTCGAAGTAGGGTTATACTAGAGCCTTTGACTAAATAGCCAAACTATAAGGCAGGGCGGAAAACTGCACGAAAATAAGGCCAACTGCAAATGGAAAGAAAGAAAATGGAATCAAGAAGGAAATGCTTTAAACTAATCGGAATGGAATGACAATTAACAGTTATATGCAAGAAACCGAATGCAGGAACACCACTGACTGCGCGACTGACTGCGACATTTCCGACAGTGTTTTCAACAATTAGTGTAGACCAATCCGGGGATGCCGTCCACTAAGGTGGCATACGCCAGTCTGAAAAAGTCCCTAGGCCAATTTCATCATACAATTATGCCACGTCATCGACTGGCTACCTCGAAGTTTCGCCCAACTTAGTGCAGCCACGGCGTATAATGCACACCGAAGAAGTCCGTCAACGGGTGTGCAGAGGATATGGCCTAGCCAGAGACTAAGATTTGTCAAACACTCAAGAGAGGCGCCAGAAGGCTTCTTAGCAAAAATCAACTGGTGGAACTCAGCATTTCTCATCCACTGTTCTCACTGGATGTAAGCAATACTCCGCAAGCACCGGTAGTCAAACACTGTCAAGCGTTTAATGTCTTCGTCGCAAACTGGTCAGGTCTTTGATCCATATAGTAACATAAACCTTATCGCAGCGTTGTACACCCCAACTTTCACGTGCATGATGATATCCCGCCGTCTCTACAGATGGTGGAGCCTCTGGAAAACCACACAGGCCCTGCTGACACGCGAAGTAACCTCCTTAGTGATGTGACCGCCAGAGGTAACACAGTTACCAAGGTACGTGAACCAATGCACCATTTCTAGTGGATAGTCGGTGATTGCCACAACCGCTGGCAGATCGGTCCGGTCTCGCAACAGTATTTTGCAATTTGAAGGTGTAAAGTGAACGGGACTGGTTAAACAACCTTGTTGCTGAACATCAGCTGATAAACTAGTTAAGTAACTGCTCGGTGGGGCAACCAGCTAAAAGGAATGCTTTGTGGGTACAGTTAGCTAAAGCAACCATCCCAATGCCCACAAGGTGCAGTAGCAATGTGTCTGCCAGGAACAGTTTTTCCAGTCGTATTGCGGCGCTGCATGTCCTGTATTTGACTGGTAAGAAAATGCGTCGATTTCTCACAGGGGAGTAAAGCCTCTGGTGGCTGTTTGAGCTTTAGCGGTAAGCGCAGTGCCCAAACTAGACAACCGACTCAACAGTGTGGTGGCGATCAAGTTAAATCAACAGGTCCTATCTTGTACCCTATGTCAAAGTAGGAAACAGCGCACGAGTAGTTGATTTGATTTAGAGACAGCAGTGCAATATTAAAGCTTACGCATCAAACATTGCAATTTCCAAGGTAAAGATGGGCGTGCGCAAGAAGCATATCACTAATTTGCACTTAAGTTCCCTCAATTATGCGAACGCGTACAGTTGCATATGAGCTGCGATATCATAGAGGCATCCAAACCTATGCGGGAGGAGGAATTGAAACTCGGACGTTTGAATCACAAAACCGCTATCCCATAGCACAGCTGAAGTGATCAAAAAAGACATTCCAAATGGTCTTGATCGTGCAAACAAACGGAAATTTCGGAGAGAACATCGTTGATACGCCACGCCCACTGTAAAGAACTCAGGGGTGTACTTCTTGTAGAACAACAGCCGGATACTGGAGAATAGGTATTAGGAAAGCAAAGTTTTGATGAGATCGCTTCGGGAGCATGTAACCCAACAAACACGTGTGGGCAACTGGATTGAATGCGTTATTTGGGTTGAGAAAGCACAGCATTGGTCGCGTGACGGCAGTATATAGAAAGCAAGCCGAGTCGCCAAGCGCAACGTAACAGCAATAGAAATCCAGGGTGGTGGGCGAAATGAGTTGTAGTTAAATGTTAAGACATTTGGATGCTTCAGTTTTCTCCTTTAGATGTTATGAGGTTAATAGGCGTACAGCAAGCAAGGGCAGGCAAGAGTAATTCCGTAACCAATATGGAAATGTGGTGAACGTGGCGCTCAAACTTAACTGAAGTAATTAGGCGGAAACGTTAGAAGTAGAAGCAGACGTACAAGTGCATTAGTTAGATTTTGTGGGCTATTGACCAGGAAAGTATGTAGAATACTAAGCTACTCGTAAAAGGTCAGTAGTATCGTAACTACGCAATGTTTCAGGTTGAATGGCTGAATGTAGCCACTGG